TCTGGGCAGACCAGGGGTTACTGCCTTTTAACAGAGAGGATTTGATTCCGGGGCCAGAACCACCCTTTGGACCACATTGTCCTGCACCATACAGGCCTCCCTGGGGGCCCCTGTCCTCTTTCAGGACCTGGAGGCCACTGTCATGGATGAGAGCTCCTGTCAGAGTCCCCCGCTGTTGCTGGTGAGGGGCTGACAGCCCCTAACATGGACTGAGAGGCCGCGAGCCCTTTCTCTTGGCTCCACGCACACTCCCAGCAGCCCCAAGCTTTGCCCCCACTTCCAGATCATTTTCACCAGATAGTGGACATGTGCACTTTGCAGTAAACTGGGCAGGCCCTGGGACCTCCACATGCACATGCCCAGGGAGAAGGCATTTGTGGGCCAGCACCATCTTCAAAGAGGCCTTTGGCGGGCTTTTCTTAACCAGCTGGGAGTGTGAGAATGCGAAAGGGCTATTGATGGGGTGATTCAGTTAAGCCTAGATGGGCAGTGCCCCTCCCCAGCCCTGAGTATGCCCAGCACAGGGCCACTTCAGCACCATGGACAGCGGCCACCGCCTGAACTGCCCCCTGGGCAACATCCTCCTCCTGGCAGAGGGGAGCCTGGCACTGGGGGTTTATTTGGGGTGCATTGGAGCCATGGTCTGAGAGGTAGCACTTATCCTAGGGAGAGTCACTCCAGACCCTCCCTGCTAAGCTGTACATCAGAGGCCGGTTTGGCTGGGGGAGGTCCTGTAGCCTCCCTCAGGGCTGTTAAAACGGAAGAATCAGGGAGGTCTCTGGGGTTTAAGGATCTGAGCCCAGGGGTAGTCAAGGAACCTGGGTCGGGCTCACTGCTATTCTTGAGGCCTCCGGGCTGGGGAAGAGCCTCCCTGGCTGCACAGTCCCGTGGGAGAGATTGTCTCACAAAGGTGTGGACCCAGGCCCACGGCCCCTCTGCGGCCAGGCCCCAAGCAGCTCGCGGGCCCCCTCCCCATGCCAGCATGGCTTCCACCTCCTGACCACCCTTCAGCCTGGCTTTTTTGGACCCGCAGTGGAAATTGATTCTAGTTTGTAAAACTTGGTTCAAAACCTAAAGGATTTTTAATTAAAACCCAGAAAATCCATCTGTGTAATTAAGCCTCCGGAAGTCACTGGGCTTCATGTGATGTGTGGCCAGTGGCACGTCACGTCCTCAGCTGCCCACAAAGACGTGACCAAGGGACGGCTGTGATGTGTGGGGATTGGCCTCGTGTGCAGGGGTGGGGGGCTGATTGAGCCCTCTCCCTCCCTAGGCGGGACCCATGAATCCTTGGTTGGTCATCGCCAGGGCAGGAAGGGCAGGGTGGCTCCGTGGTGTTTCTCTCAAGAGCCGAGCACAGGTGTGTGCACCTTCACACAGACCAAGGCACACGGCCCAAGTGCAGGACTCTGGGGTCTTGTCCCTCCCAGGCATGTGTTTGGGGTGATGAGGGGAGAAGGGCAGGGGTGTATCTTAAGGATAGTAGCTCCAAAAGGGTCTGAGTGCTTGCAGGGATGGATGGAGAACTTTCTGGGTGCCAGGGTTGTGCTGACTGGGTTGGTTAGTCCAGCCACTGTGGTGGTGTCCCCACTTCTCAGATGAGTCTGTGTTCATGGCCTCCCTGCTGGTCCTGGGTCACTATAGCTATGGCTAGTTGTCCTGATCTCTCAGGGTGTGCCTCAGGG